CCCCCCCAACAAACTCAAGATGACTTAACGTGTGTGGTCACTTTTCCCCGTCCATTTTTTGGGAGACAGCAGGATTCCCATTATCTAATCTCTTTCCAATGTCTGCGTCGTTGTGGCGAGTGGTATCTGGCTCGTGAGTGACTAAGGCTGATAGGGTTTCCTTCAATGGTTCTAACTTTGTTAATCTATGTATGTGTTTTTCTAGGAGCCTGTAGTTTTGTGGGCCTGAACTAGAGTGTTGTGTTGATGTGTACTTGACTTTCCTTTTAAAACCACCGGTGAACTAAAGACATCTCTGGCATTTGGCGTTAGTTCTATTTAGAAATATGTAGCCTTTCGGAAGTAGTGCGACACTGCACAAAAGGTTGACTGATGAGCTGCTTGGAACTGAGGTGTTGGATTTCTTGGTAACCCCATGAGTAAATACTTTGCTTACAGTTAGAGTTTTGTACATCAGACAGTTTGTAAAATTATAGCATTGTTGGTTCAAATGTTAAGTATGATCGTGCTTTGACTGAAAGCATATATTCTTGCCACTGTGTTCAGAGGATAATTCAGGAATCTCCTTTAGTGTGAGCAGAAGGACAGCTGGTCTACTGGCTAAACTAAATCCAAGGTCTGTAACTATTCTTAATGCTGCTTTCTACTGTGGAAATAACTAGACTTGGTTCATTCTTGAAATCTCTATCTGAAATAATTAGGATGAGGTCTTACACCTAATGAATATTTTCCTGAAAGACCATGTGTTCTGTTGTGGGAGCCATACAAGATCAATCTTAAACACACTGCTGAAATTTTCTGATATCGAGCTCCTGTTCCTCTTGGTCCCCCGCAACATCAGAGGGATGTGCATAGAGACCTATACGCTTTGTCTCAGTGATGATGCTTGGCGTTTATATGGAGCTTTCAGTGTTCAAAGTGTTTGACAAACATGTTCACTATGCTTTACAACAACCCCACTGTGAAGTAAGCCAGTATTACAGACTGTGTGTGTGGGCAGAAGAACTGAGGCTGAGTAATATGCATAAGGCTACTTAATAAAGTCTGGCAGGACTGAGACTAAAATGAAAGACTATCCTCATCACAGCTTGTCGTAGCATAGTGGTTAGCTCTTAAAGCAAACTGCAGTTGAATATAAACAGTGTAGTCTTAAGCAGAATTACACCTTTCTGAATTCAGTGAAGTCAGTGGATTTAGAAAAGTATAACTGTGCTTAGGACTGCATTGTTAGATCATAGTTATGTGTATTTATTATGCTGGATCAAACAAAAAGCCTAGTGTTCAGTGAGCAATTGTTGCCGGTTCTGTATGTTAATTTTGTGACTGGGCACTCCAGAAATCAGTCATGGTGATGCAGTTCTGGCTGTGATGCTATCTAGGTCACTACATCCGGAAATAAAGAACTTCTTCAGTCTAACGCTCTCCCAACTGTTGAGATCACACCCTCAGATTCATTGGAACTAGATGAGGGGCTAGTGTGAACTTGCATTGTTGTTGACATGGCTGAAAAAATCGGTCACAGCAAAATAATTTGATGTGTTCATATGTACTAAAAGCATACTTAAATCAGCGAAAAAATCGGTCACATCAAATTATCATATGTACTAAAAGCATACTTAAATCAGTCTTACAAAGAATAAATGCTGATGATGTGGCATCTGACTTCACTTGCAGGCAAGACGGGGTGGGAGTTATGGCAGTTTCCTGGATGCTGATAAAAGTGCTTTACTGAAACTTGTGCAGTGGCTGTGCTTTGAAACTTGATAGCATGTTTTTAGTACAGCGTTTATTCTTGGGGACAGATGTACTTTCATGTTCTCAGTTTCAGGTAACAGCTCTTTTAGCCTTAATTTCCCCACTACTGGTTTTTACTGTCTTAGGCATGAAGTTGAAGTAAACTGTTGGAAAGGATATTCAATATTTGAGCCTTTGGCAACAACACAGAGAAAACCCATACGCGCTGCTGCTATTCTAATCTGTCCTTGAATACGTAGAGAGGCTAAAACCTTGCTGTTTGATTTTTGCTTGGTTTATACAGCAGAGTAGTATCTTTAAAAAGAGTTTTCTAGATGTTCAACTGGTTTATCTACATTTGAGTTTTGTTAAGAGTTTAAAAATTTGCATTTAGTGGTTAGGGGTGGTGGGAAACTGTTGATTGGTTCCCCTAGATGCTGTCATTTAGGCTCAGACTGTTGAGGCAGCTTGAACAAATGGATTAATAGTAGATTAGACATGGTCGTGTTCTGTTTGACTTGGGAAGAAGTACAGCATATAGAAAGAGCCCTTGTGTGAGCTCTAATCTAACAGTGTTGGAAAAACAAGGGTCAGCATTCTTGGTGTGATGTTGATATTAGGTTAGCCGGCTGAACACTGGACTAACAATGTGTAGGAAGTTCATTTTTTTCAGTAATAGGCAGTTTCCTATTTTGCAATGTGTTTCTCACAGTAGTTGTCAGTTGTATTCAGGATTTTGAAATGGTTGCTGTTGGATCAAGCATACTTTTATCCTGTAATGCTTTCTTGTTTCCTGGCCATGTTTAATTTCAGCCATATGCTGGAAGGCTTTAAGAAATGCCTTGCTTTTCAGGTAACTCATTAGTGAAACATGTGAGTGTTTGTGTGTGCCTGTTGCTATGCAAGCCACATTTTTGTGACACGCAGTCCAGGAAAGTTCATGCATGCAGTCAGATGTTCAAAGTGTGCATAACTTTCTCTGGCTTATATGCATCATCACTGGTTTAAATGAGGTCATTTGGAATCCTGCAAAGGTGCTACATTTGCAGAAATGTCCCTTCTTTCATCACATGTGATGGTGTCATTAGCAAATTCTTTTAAACTTGAGGGCAAGTTTTAGTATGTCAGTCTGTTGCCATCTTGCTCAAGAATCTGTGTGTGCTGTTCTTCCTGTTCTAGGCCTGGGAAAAATGTGAAGTGCCTCTTGACTCAGAAATCAGCTTCTAGTAAGCTGATGCATTTTCCCATAGTTCTATTCATTTCCATTCTTTATCCTGAGTAAATGAGGGTAAACTTATGGGGCATTATCAGTGATGCCATAAATAGAAGCTTGTCATCAGTCTCTGAATAATATTTTATATGTCCTGTTGCTTGCAGATTACTTTGTTTGGATAGAAAGGATTCAGAAATTTGCAGTCTTCATAGAAGTACTGTCAACAGGACTCTGAATGAATGGGACACCATTTAAAATGGGAAGTTAGCCACAAAACTAAGAATATGCTATGCAAGGGGTCTCACCCCTGATAGTCAGTCATGTCTGAATTGATGATGCTGTGGTGCCATGCAAAAATACTACTAGCTTGGAATTTCAATTTTTAAAGTTCAGGTTTTCATATGTGGGAAGTTCCTTTTCTTCCACTGAATTCTTAGCACAACTATGTTACCCCCTGCCCCATCAAAGGTGCAAATAACAAGCAAATATGCAAACTCTAGGGGCAAGGAGGGGGCTGTATTTGTGTTGTCTTTCTTCTTTCTAGGAGTCTTAAGACTAGGGTGTCAAACATGTGGCCCGGGGGCCAGATCAGGCCCCCGGAGGGTTTACATCAGGCCCGCAGTGGAACTGGCCATCTCCTGCTTCCCGTTCTGCTGCTGCATCATAGCTTGCTTTGCCAGACTCTATTAATCACTCACCCATTTCATGTTTTAACCTGGATCCTAGACTCAGAACTCTGAGATTTCTGTGGTGAATGTCAATAAATCAAAAGTAGGTTTGCAGCTTACAGAGCTAATGTTTTAAGCATGTTTTTATTTTAAGTTAAAAAAACCCTTTGTGTTTATGTCTTTTATAAAGTTTATATCTCCGCTACCTGGCATTACATTTTATGACACACATGGCCCGGCCCAACAAGGTCTCATTTATGTCGGATCCGGCCCTCATAACAAATTAGTTCGACTCCCCTGTCTTAGGAGGTTGGTTTCCAGTTTGTATCCAAAAGTAGCAGACTGACTTCCATGACAGATTTTTGAAGATTTCCTTCTAACAGCACACAATAACTGAAATAAAAAAGTAACAGTAAAAATAAAATCTCCAGTCAGAGAAGATTAGCCCCTGCACCAAGGACTACTGCAAACTAAACTGATGCTGCTTGGTTGAATGTAGTGTCCCTTTCACAATATGATAGTGTGCCCCATATGTGGGGAATAACTTAAATTCATGTTTTCCTTCTTCCCACAAGGAGTAGATTTTTGAGAAGTTGTACTTGAAAGCAAATATTGTCTTGATGAGTCTCATGTAGTTCAAGATACTTACAATTAGGCATCTGACTGTTTACAAGCCTCTTCTAAAAAGAAAGTGGTGCGCATTTCCTCTTCCCTACAACAGTAAGTGTATCTGTAATTATTGCCATACTTCATGTTTCATCTCTCCATCTTTGTGTGTGTGTGTCCCCGTGAGAGTAATCAAGAACATGATATTGCTATGCTGGACTTGAAAACTGTGCAGTGTAATGCTTGGACAGTTATTTGCAGTCAAGCTGTGGTTAAAGATTTAGGTTCAGGATGTTCTTAGCGAGGTTACAAAACTTGCCTTTTCTGGTCAGTTGGTACAGAAGAGAGATGGTGTTGTAGTATAGTGTCTGCACTGTTGCTGAATTGTTGATCTGCTTTTCTCTCCTGTTCAGGTATGGCCTCACAGCTGCAGGTGTTCTCTCCTCCATCAGTATCTTCGAGTGCCTTCTGCAGTGCCAAGAAACTGAAAGTGGAGCCCTCTAGCTGGGATGTTTCAGGACCGAGCAACAGTGACGAATATTACAGTCACAGCAAAAATCTCCCAGGTGCGCAAGGGCCAGCAAGCTCCTCTCATCAGGTAGCAAACTTCAGCATCCCTGCTTATGACCAGAGCCTCCTCCTCCCTGCTCCTTCGGTTGAGCACATTGTGGTCACAGCAGCAGACAGCACAGGCAGCGGTGGAACAACATCTTTCCAGAACAGCCAGGCCCTAACACACAGGGGCAACATTTCTTTGCTGGAACCGTATCAAAAATGTGGATTAAAAAGGAAAAGTGAAGAGGTTGATAGCAACGGTAGTGTGCAAATCATTGAGGAACATCCACCTCTCATGCTGCAAAACAGACCTGCGGTGGGTGCTGCGGCCACGACCACCACTGTGACGACTAAAAATAGCAGTTCCAGTGGTGAGGGGGATTACCAGCTGGTTCAGCATGAAATCCTTTGTTCGATGACAAACAGCTATGAAGTTTTGGAGTTCTTGGGCCGAGGGACCTTTGGACAGGTGGCAAAATGCTGGAAGCGCAGCACTAAGGAGATTGTTGCTATCAAAATCCTGAAAAACCATCCTTCCTATGCCAGGCAGGGGCAGATTGAAGTTAGTATCCTTTCTCGGCTTAGCAGTGAGAATGCTGATGAATATAACTTTGTCCGCTCATATGAGTGTTTTCAACATAAAAACCACACATGCCTGGTGTTTGAGATGCTGGAGCAAAACTTGTATGACTTCTTAAAGCAGAACAAGTTCAGCCCTCTGCCTCTGAAATACATTCGGCCCATTTTGCAACAGGTGGCCACTGCCTTGATGAAGCTTAAAAGTCTGGGTCTGATACATGCTGACCTGAAGCCTGAAAACATCATGTTAGTTGATCCTGTGCGCCAGCCATACAGGGTGAAGGTTATAGACTTTGGCTCTGCTAGTCATGTGTCAAAAGCTGTGTGTTCCACTTACCTGCAATCACGCTATTACAGGTAAGTATCAGTTTCCTATCTTCATACACAGCTTTTGCATGTCATGCACCCTGTGCCAATTCATATGGAAGTTCTTTTCTCTGAAATCATGGTTGTCTTAGTTTTTTCCCCTTCTCTGTATTTTCTGTCTATAGTTCAGCATTTTCTGTTTTAATTAGAACATTCCCATCTTTGAAATTCTTTGGAAAAGATTAACATTTTGGAAGCAAAACTAGGCAACTGAAATGGAATAGGAGTTCAGACATCTGATTCATGTAAACTTACTACAGGCTTCAGGGGGAAATGTCCATTTTTCACACTTAGACATTAAGCTAGGGCCAATGTGGTATAGTGGGTTAGAGTGTCATAGTAGGATAAGGGGAACCCTGGCTTTAAATCCCTTCATGTCTATAGCTTAGTGAGTGACCTAGTCTCACAGTGTCAGCCTAATCTACCTTGCATGGTTGTTGTGACTATGAAGTGAAGGAGGGGAGAACCAAGAACCATATATGCTGTCTTGAAATGCCTTGAAGGAAAGGTTGGATAAAAACTTCAGAAAGCAACTGCTTAAGAAATAAGTACATCTGTTGCCATTGGTGCTAGGTTTACCTACAAACCAGCAGTGACAAGAACTTCATGCACACTTACTTTTGTCATACAACGAAATATTCTGATGTGAATTGATAAACCTTTGGGTTGGATCCAGTCAGATTTTTTTGCTCAATCTTGGTGAATTCCTTCCCTTATTACTCCCATTCCACATGGCTTTTGTTCATGCTGATCCCATAATCCCAAACATAGCCCTTTTAGTGGTCAAAAGGAACCCTCTCTTCCCTTTATCAGCAGTGTTAAAACTGATTTGATCCAGCCCTTTGTAGTCTCACTGAGAATTGTTGGAAATACTAGGCACCACAGTGAAATTTCTGGGTGCCGCAGGGACCTGATGGCTGAGATTTATCTGTCCTTGATGTAATAGGGAGGTGGGACTGGCCTGTATTTCTAAGGCAGTGGAGTTGAGGGGAGCTAAACAAAGACAGTCAACTATCAGAAGCTTCAGTGCTCTGCGTAAAATAACGAACAGCAGAAGTTGTCAGGGCGGGTAGGCAGTCTGTAGGCCACACTGTGTCTGAATTGGATAGCTAGTTATGACCAGCTTTAAGAGGGGGCAAAGATGAGCAGAAAAGTGATGGAGACCCTTCCCACACGCACCTCTTTTTTTGCTGCAGTTTCTCCTCCCATCCCACCACCACTTTGCTTTGTGGGATTCCAGATACATGTTTACCTTGCAAAACGCATGTCTGGAAACTTGTGAAGGGAAAGGCAGCTGTGGGAGGTCTCAGTGGGAAAACAACAGGTGGGGGAAGGTTAAGCATTCGGCCCTCTACTGCTTTTGTGCTGCAAATAAGCCTTTCCTAAAGCTTATTAGTCTAGAAGAAACAGCCCTGGGGTTCATACATGTGTATATGGTGTAGTTTATTTGTTTTATTTATTTATTCATTTCATTTATACCCTGTCTTTCTCTCCAGTGGGGACCAAAAGCATCTTACATTATTTTCCTCTCCTCCAGGCCCACAGCAGCTGCCAGCTTTCACTGCTGCTAGGCCCGGAGCAGCTACTAGCCTGAAGCAGCTGCTGGCATCCGCTATTGCTTAGCTGGAGTGTCTCCCTGCATTTTCTGTGCATGCACAGAGAATACAGCTGTGTTTGTGGGGGGTGGATTTAACCCCTCCATATGTTTTAATTTTGATTCCAGATTTTTCTGCAAGCCTGGGAAGTTCCCCAAGTTTGCAAAAAACACTCTTTAGCCTCCATGTGGACCCAATCCACAGATTTAGCTATCTGTAGGTGAGGGCCACAAGTGGATAATAGTATATAGATAAGAAGTATTAATATTTATTCTGCTTGTACAAATGTTAGGATACACCTAGCCTTCAGGAAATATTTAAAATAATTCCATAGTAACAATATCTTTGTAAGAGCATATATATGTAGCATTTTTAAAAAAGTCAACATAGTGGTGTCTTTGTTTGAGGCATCTGATTTTTTTAACCATTTCAAAATGATGATGTATTCTTGTCTGCGCTGCCAAATACGATCATGGATATGAGATACATTAAAAAAACTGAGAGGGAAGGAAAAATAACGGTGTGTATGGCTTGCTATTTTGTCTCTGGCATGGTGCCCTTTTTAGAAACAGAATGGGGAGTACTGCTGCTTTTGCGGGCTGTCAAGCCAGCCAACCATCATACCAGTGAAAGGGATAAGATCATTGTGCTTGGAAGCAGAGGATCAAAGAAAATATGTATACTCATCCAACAATACTCAGTCCTGCAGCTACTATTTTTACCAGTGGGAGGACATTTTGCTAAAACCCTTTATATTAATTGTATTAATGCCCTAATTCATTTTCCAAATAGATTCAGCTTCATAAAAGTTTCCTATTGTTGGACATTATCCCATTCTATCATGAAAGGACCAAACAGTGTTGTTAAGCAGTAGTTAAGATTGTTGGAGGACTGTGGGGAAATAGCGTAGATCAAGTTTTATCACCTTGTGAGTAAATTATTTCATATTGGCTACCTAAATCCTAGTACACTTCTTTCTCTGTGTTCTATTTGTTCTGGGTGGGAAAAGGGGGAGACTTAAGGATTTGTTTATCAGTCAAAACAAAGCAGTGACTTCAGAATCTTGAGTACATGGTTGAACAGAATGGCAGTCATGTGGTATCAGAAATAACCTTTTGTCCTACATTCAGCCTCTGGTAGCTTTCTTGAGTCTGCATCAGACCAGAGTTTATTTTGCAGCAGCAAGCATAATTCAAGGGAAGAACCTAGACACACAATCAGTAAACCATTAGGCAGACTTCTAAATAGTGTCAACCCTACTACTTACTCATTTTGTAAAATACAATTCAGAGGAAACCATGGTGAAAAGGTGTTGCTCTAGCCATTTCTGCAGAACAGAAGAGCATGGTGGTACTCCTATATAATATAATTTCCTCTGCTTAAGTAAGTTCACTGTGTGTCACAAGCCCGTGCTTGTGATTCAGTGACTCCAAACCAAATCAGAGAAAAGCACTGTAGAAGTAAAGTGACCTGTGTACAATTTCTCATCTTTTTGCCATTTCAGTCTCTTTCTAAGTGAACCAATAAGCTTGAAGGATTCTTTGTCCTGGTAGGGGAGTTGGAATGCAGCTATGGTAGCCTATGTACCTTTTTTAAAATACAAAATAATCCTTGCCATAGCTAGCATATGGCAAGTGTTTGTCCTGGGCTATGACTAGAGATTACATACCAGTATTAGGATACACTAATATGACTGAAAAAATGGTATGCAGTGTTGTATCCCACACAAAGGTTATATTGGAGAAATAAGTTAATCAAGAAAGGGTAGGTAGGCTTGTGTGCTGGTAGGGGTTTTTTGCAGATAGGAGCTAACGGTTCTCTTACTTGCTACTATTTAGTCCTGCTTTTATCCCTGTTTTATTTCCTTATACTGCATACTGAGGAAATAGGATACTTTTTAAAAAACATCAACAAAACACTTCATGGACCCAAACTGTTCCATTAAATTCTATATCATATGTCCAAACAGTCAATGCAGAGGCTATGACAAAATGCACTTGCCTTTGGACATAAATTTTTGCATGTATTCTAAATAAGCAAGAGATCCAGAGATACGTATGTAGGAGAGAGAACTTAAGTGCAGCAAGAGTATTGGTTTTTGGCCCTGTGTTTCCTGTAGCTGAGCAAGCAGGCCACTTTTTAGTTTGTGCAGCTGCTTGCCTCTATAGCTGTGGGAACGTGTGCTCAAAACAGTTTATTCATTTTTGTTCATGTAAAACATTTCTGTGCTGCCTTTCTATCCCAGAATGGTCCCCAAGGTGGTGAACATCAAACATTTCAAAATTAAAAATGTTTAAAATAAAGTGTGTGTGTATATACATATATAAATTTTTAATAAAATATGAATACACAAACAGTTGAGTACCTGCTATATTCACAGTCTGTCCCATCCTGCCCTCAGTAAAGGATTCCAGCCCATAACTGTGGTTTCAGATGAAATCAACTTTTTATATGAAAAAAGTTTGGCCACTGGTTTTTCCTGTATAGGGGATGGCACACTTCATATGCAAAAATAATCTGAGACAGTGTTGTGGAATACAAGCCATTACAGTCAGTGGCGCCATTCCGTTTATCCAGAAACACCAGCTCCCAGTGTAAACAGAGCAAATTTTTTCTCTCTGCTGCTCATTGTCTCGTTGCTTTCCAAATCTCATTCATATCACTTCATTCTTTCTTTAAACCCTTGAAAATAATAAGCACAGCTGGTTATCTGAGTAAGATAATTTAGGACAATTAGAAGGCTTTAATCCCTTCCCCTTCAGTTGGATTGGTGCCTTTCTGCTATTGCATATGTTCAATCTGGACATTTTATCAAGAAATAGTTCATAGCTATTTTGTTTGTCACCTTTGTGTTCTTATAGTTAAGATATTGTGTGGGTACTTTAGTGTGTTGAATCCAGTGATATCTAGGTAGTCCAAGGATCACAGAGTTTGCCTGTGTTCCACAGCAGCCCTTTCTGGCCCTTGGAAATACTGATTTCCAGGGTCACACAAGACTTGTGTGGAGTAATAGGTACATGAGTGTGTGTGTGGGGGGAAGGGGGCATAATTGCTCTCTCCTCTATTTTCTGTTGGTGCAGTTTCACTGATGGAAGAAGCAGAAAGGGTGATTTCATCTCCTTCCCCTACATGTTGCAAGGGTAGGTAAACCTTAGCCTCAGTACCAAACCCCTGTCATTGTATGTAGACATTGGTGTGCCAGCAAATACAAGAGAAGGGGAGAGATGAAAGTTGTGCTTGGCCAGGCACAGTGGGACCAAGCTGAGCCAGCGTTCAAGGGCTAATCTTGGTTTTGTGGGAGAAGATCCAGCCCTTCATGCTGAGCAAAATGGTCTGGGGCACTGCTGTTTGGCTTGTGTGTTGAAGATTGTCTCCTCCTGTGAACAGGCTGTTGAG